ATGTGTTTCATGAGAGGACAAAACATATTGAAGTTGACTGTAATTTTCTCAGAGATGCTTGGGAAAAGAAGATAGTATCTCTCATATTCACTCCGTCCTCACAACAACTTGCTGATATTCTTAACAAGGCTACTTCTTCAAAGGTGTTCTCTACTATATGTGACAAGCTGGGCATGGTAGACATCTATGCTCCAGCTTGAGGGGGAGTGTTAAGTTAAATATTGGGTATTGGGTTAATGGGCTGTTACTCGTTAACCTTAACCCTATTTGTATGGCTATATATATCTCTCTTGTTATTCTCAATAAACAATTAGGGTTTTCTCTATTCTCTACACAGGACACGCATAACCCACCAGTATCAAACATTAATTACAAATGTATCTGTCTGTGTTACTTGAGCATGCTTGTGACTATTCTAGTCACCTAAGGTATATGCACATGCTATCAATTAACATGCACATATGTTGTGTGCATATTGTGCAAGTTGCGCAATGATAGAAAAGTAAAAAAAAAATACATAATTTAAGGCTAGACAAGTTAACGAGGAAACTCGCCCCTAAAGCACTGAACTGAACTTCTATGGAACGTCGGTTGGTTCCAATCTTCTTGATATGATTGATGGAGGATATTTCAAGCTAAGCATCCTGAATAGTTTAATGGCTCGCTTACCAAAACTATTATCATTCATGATGACTTAAATATAAGACTGTTACGATCAAAGAAAGACCCAACCAGAACTTGGAGTCCCTCAATTAGTTGGAAAAAAACAGTGCTCTTATTTGCTGTCTTGTTTTGAAAAAGTGAAAAGTAACGCGAGAGTGAATCTAAGAATATTGATCCTGATACATGACTAATTATAAATATATACATGTATTTATCATGGTGTCATCGTGCATGAAGGATAAAGAAAATTGCAATTATTATTCAACAACAAAGCATTACTTCATCCAACTGTATAAAGTTTTCAGATATCCTGTCAGGAATGCAACCTCATCTTACAGAGTTTTCAGATATTCTGTCACCAATATTGGAAATTTTCTGTCTTAAAGTTAAAGGGAATCGAAACAACTAAGAAATAAACCCATCAAATTCGCAGCTTCAATCAAAATTTTCAGCAGGAAGCTAGCATCTTCAAAATTACCATCTCCCCAATGCCCCCCCCCCCACCCCCCGAAAGCAATGTTTGTTGCTTGATCCACATAGAAACAGGACTAATTGCAGAACCATGAAGGCCAACACTTAAAAAAAAAAAACCTTCGAAATTTTGCCAGTTTCTAATAAGGGGCTGTTTGGTTCGTTTCCTTGATATAGGGAAATGCAATTCCATGTAAAGAAATATAAGTTTTGAGTTTTCCAAACTTTTCCAAGAAATAGATTGTTTTTGCTTTGGTTCGCACATAAAAAATGGTGAGAAACCAATGTATTTATTTTTCTTGTGTTTGGTTCTCATAGAAAAAAAAGGAAAACTTTTGTAAACAAAGCAAAGAAGGAAAAAATCTGACGTGGCAGAGTTTTTATCAATTTCACTCGGTTGGGGAAGGAAAACGGAGAGGGAAAAAAATCTGAGCTGGCGGCGATTTCAGCAGAGTTTTCCCTCTTCCATCCGAGCGAACCAAAGCGGCACAAAGAAATGGACGGAAACAAAAAAACTGACGTGGAGGGCTAAAAATCTGACGTGTAGGGGTTTTCTGAGTTTTTCACCCCTTATAATAGCGAACCAAACAGCCCCTAAGCCCCAACTCAACTCGTGAATTGAGAAAACGCAATTTTCGTAGGAGGGGTGATAATTTGGGGACAAATTTTCAAAACCATCCCATTTTGAAATTTATTTATAAAAAATGACCCCTTTTAACCTTAATTGCAAAAACCGACCCAGTTGGTTGAAATTGGGTCGGTTTTTGAAATTTTTTTTTCAAACTTCACGGGAGTTGAACTCCCGTGAAGTTTTGTTATGAGAAAAAACTTCACGGGAATTAAACTCCCGTGAAGTTTGGAATTTTTTTTCAAAAACCGACCCAGTTTCAACAAACTGGGTCGGTTTTTGCAATTAAGGCTAAAAGGGATCGTTTTTTATAAATAAATTTCAAAATGTGATGGTTTTGAAAATTTGTCCGATAATTTGGCAGTCCGAAACCGTACGAACATCTTAGGAACAAGAAAAAGGTGAAGATTTTGGAATAACGCCAGCAAAAGAGAACGTCGGCAAAAATAGAAGGAAAAGGGGAATGACTCGCCTTTGATGCCGGCGAGATTAAAATTCGTCGGAGGCGGTTGTGGCCGAAAGAACTGAGAGGGTATAATAAAATCTCGCTTGTTGAATCGTTACCCTTTCCAACGGGGAAAGAGAAAATCAGCCCCTTAGAGCAAGTGCAGCAATCTCTCTTGTTGGAGTGCTTTCAAGCATGGGGCCCACTTAGGAGCTTTATACTAGGAAAAATATTCCAACAAACTCCCAACTAGGAGCATAAATATTATTTGAAAAATCTATTCTTCTATGTCTAACATTTTATAAATATTTTTTAAAACAACAAATCTAATTAAAAAATATTTTTTAGTGGGCCCCTACCCCTTAGGAGCTCCCAAGTGCTCCACAAATTTGTGGAGCTCTTAGGAGCTCCATGGTGGGCCCCACCGCCAACTAGGATTTGAGAGCTTCCTTGGGAGCTTGTTGGAAGGTCTTGGGAGCTTTTTCTTGCCACATAGGACTTAGGAGCTTGAGAGCTTCCTTGGGAGCTTGTTGGAAGGTCTTGGGAGCTTTTTCTTGCCACATAGGACTTAGGAGCCTTCTTGGGAGGCTGTTGCACTTGCTCTTAAATCATGCGGAGGGGAGGGGAAAAGAAGAACAGTTTGGGGTTTTTCTAAGCCAACAACTTAGGTGCTCCATGACATCTTCTGTAAATAGAAAAACCTAAAATCTAGCTCTCTAATCCACAATTTAAGGGATTATGTGGTTGATAGGCCTTCCACACCTACATTTGTAAATAGGTTGAACTTAGAGGGTAGTTTTGGAGTTGAAAACATCGTAGAAAAGGATAAAACTAATATTTGAGAAGGGTTGGTTTTCTTCAACTAATTTCTCACTTGATCTTTAACAAAATCTAATTTGGCCGTATTCTATCATATTATATTTCTCTCTTCTATTTTTCCTTCCATATTTATGACAAAAAATTAGTATTATAATACAAAGTTGTGTTTAAAATAGATATTATTGTTCTTGCTTTTAGTCATATTGTATAAAATTATGCATAGCATGCATATGTCAATTCCTTTCTTATCATTATAAAGAGGAATACAATTAACCGTCGATTGTAAAATTATACTTTTATTTATATTTTCACTGAAAAGATTTATAACTAAGTCAGATGATCTTTCTACATACTAACATTAACCATTTGATACCCCATTTACGAGAAAATATTCATTTAGAAATAAGTGTAATAAATTGTATTGATTTATATTTTTTTGTACATTGAAAAATCAAAATCTGAAAATTACACTATTATATGCTTGTTTAAACATGTATATAAAATCCAAATTAGGCTAAACTAAATTATCAATTTTAACTAAATCTAAAAAGTATATCATGCGCATTGCACGTGTGCAATTCACCTAGTAAACGTGAAACAAGGGAGGTGGGTGAAGTGATTATGAACAGAGAAATAATAGGATAGGAATTGAAAAAGAAAAGGACAAATACACCCTTGTTATTTTCAACCCAAAAATTTAATTTTCCATCCATTTAAAAATTATAAAAATTCTTATTTTCGGAGCACCAAAGCATAACTCTTTTCTTAAATCTTTAGAGCAACTCCAATGGGGAGGCTGTAAAATGCAGCCTCCCCAAAGCATATTCTTGGGCATATGCTTTTTTAGAGGGGGGTAACTCCAACCACCTCCTCTATACGAAGCTCTATTTGCATTTTTAATTGATTTCTTTTATAATACTTTAAATAGATTTAAAAATATAAAAAATATAAAATGTTAAAAAATTATATGAATTAATTTAAAATATAAAATATATTATAATTAATTGATTTCATTTTTAATTACTTGGTTCTTGAAATTTTATATTTCAATTAATATTATTCAATATTAGTCTCATTTTGAAGGTATCGACAAAACATTTCCAACCGTAAAATTTTTATTTAAAAATAATTAGTAGAAATAAACTTATGTTGATTTTAAGTTGAATATCTAAAAATAATCAGTTAGTTAGAAGGGTATTATTGTAAATTTTTAGGGGGAATAGTGGTTTGGAGGGGGCTGCATATTTGGAGCAAAAACTCCAAATATGCAGCCGAGTGGGGGTTTTTGCATCCGGACTCCAAAAATTGGAGCCCGGTTGGAGCTCCATGGGGCTGCAAAATGGAGTTTTGCAGCCCCATTGGAGTTGCTCTTGAACTTGCTGTTAGATCACCAATATTGTTGCCAAAATAGTCCCTCTTGAACTTGCTGTTAGATCACCAATATTTCTTGACTTTACCCCGTGTCCACTGCTTCTCTTGATTGATTGAAGGGACTAATTTAGAACAACTTTGCCTGGAATCTGAGTACATGATATAAATTTTCATTGGTAGTTAAATTGTGTATTAACATTTCTTCATCGCATGTTGTTTTGCTCCGGATCATTTACTTTCCTGCAGATTTGCTACAAGATTAACTGCAACATTCAAGCCAACTGGCCTAACATGACAGTAAATTATTCTGCTTATGAAAACTTATTTATTTATACAACTATTTTCCCCTCTTCAGGGTGGCAAATATGTGCTGTGCCAAGCGCGCATCACATGCGGTGGAGTCTTAGTATAAACTAATAGAAACTGCAGGGCACGTCCGTTTAAACAAGATACCATTGGCGTCTTCCCTGTGACCGGACGGGATCAGATGTAGGTAAAAAGAACCTATGTTGATTACTGCAAGGAAACACTTCCAACATAATACACAGTCTGCTTTATCGACAACTTTGTCATCCCCCATTACCCAGGTGAAACCAACAAATAGAAAAAGAAAAACCGAAACTAAAACAATTTATATATGCTCCTCCTGGAAAGATTTTCTTTTCCCCAACTTTTTATCCCCAACCCAAAACCAATATTTCCCCCCTCTTTCTCTATGGGCAACATTTACAAGGGCAAAGCCAATGGCGGTCGAGCTTTCAGTATGCGGTCCTAGTCAGTCGATAATTTAGCTTGAACAGGCATTATAGAGAGAGCCTCTCTCTCTCTCTGGACCAGATCAAGAGTTGAATTCAGCAATAGACTGAAGGCAGCTGTATTTCTTTTGTCGCGGTTGCTGAATCTTGAGCACGTCACACATATTTCCCTGATGACTTCCATATTCTTCCTTCGAGTGATATAACCATAACTGTTACATCGTCATGGTACTTTCTTCGATCTCCTTGCGGTATGTCTAGTAGCTCATTAAAGCCCATTCCTGCAACCAAAAACCATGAAATATCAGACATGATTTTATCAAGTACATGAGTTATTGTCAAACATTAGCTGGTGTCAAGAACTCCACCATGTTTGGCATATAGATCCTAGAATACCTAACAATATGGACCTATGCACTGCAATTTAATTTTGTGTAGTGAAGCAGAAGCGTGCTAAGTCATCTAAAACAAAGCAAAAACTTACAGATGAATGTGTTCTTAGCTTAGTTGTCTATTGTTGAGTGCCAAATGGCTTAATGGCTGGATTGCTATATATCTCTACATAATATCAATATAATATATTATTAATTATAGTATATATAGTATTATATATATATATTATATATATAACATATATAGTCATTTGGCGCAACTATATATGCAGATGAAGTCTCTGTATTTCTCAGTTGTAATACGTATCATAGAGCGTCAAGAGTTCTTTACAACACGTTCAGCTGTACATATTATATATATATATATTATATATATATACTATATAATATATAGATATATAGGTCATAATGTCAGTTTGCCAACATATTAGCAGATGAAGCTCTGTAATTCTCAGTTGTAATAGTATCATGAGCGTCAGAGTTCTTTACACGTCACTTGTTCAAATGTTCAAATTCCTGATCTCATGTACCAGCACCAGCAGAATGCTATTCACGTCCATGGGGATTTAGGATCCATATATCTCGCATTTGGATTCACATGATATCTCCTATCACACTTATTCTCGTCGAGGAAAAAAATATATGCAAAAAGAATCTCCTATAAGATTTATACAGAAAAAGTGCAATCACTAGTTCACTACTTTTTTTTGGTAGAACAAAGGCATTTATGCTGGAATAGCTTGGTGAAGGGCGCTTCCAGCTACAAGAAATACATACTTATTGGATTTCAGTAGGGATAATAATAGTACTTCAATTTGCTTATCTTTTATTTGTCAAAAGTAATACACTATGCCTAATAACATATATACACTAGGTGACTATATACAGCGATCCCAATAAGTTGCTTCACGAAAGAGACCTTCAAACTTCTCGACAGAGAACACTGGAGAGATGGAAGATAACTAAGTACAAACTCGTCAAGAAGTCTCATCAGCTTTAGCAAGTACAAGATTCCAATTTTAAATAGGTTGTGTCATGCCAGGGAATTAGGTTAATAGGCTGTGTCACATCAGGGAAGCTGATGGACCTATTGGATATGACATCTCTTGCTCAGTTATTGCAAACATATATAGCATTCTAGAATTTGTTCTGTATCTCCGTGTTCCATGTCAGTATATTCTTAGTTCAATGACATTAAGTAACTTTGGCATCTCTAGACTCATCGCAAATTATGAGCAGGTAACCTAGTTATGAAGCAAAAACAAAGCCCATAAACTATGTCTATTTAGAAATTGATTTACTTTCAGTAACTTCACGAAACAAGAGAAATGATATCTTCCTTCTATTGTGGGTTTTCTTTTGATGCATTTTGCAAGGTATAGAATACATTCACAACAGATCAATTTTCCATGTGTTCATTTCCGCTTCATCTTGGTATTATGTAGTTATCGTACACTCATAAGCTATCCATTACAGTATTTCAGTCTCTATTACACGTCAAAATAACAAATTTCATACTTCTCATCCACTAAATCCTATAGACATGTAAGTCTGTAGATCTTAAGACCAGATGCAACATGCAGGTCTACTCTGCTTGATTGTCCTGCTTGTTCATGTACTTCTAATACTCTGATTCGTGCTGGTTGTTCATGTACTATAATATTCAAATTGACTTCACCTTAATAAAATCATCAGTCAATTGCATAACATGTCAATTCATCTCAGTTAAGTCCTTATACAAGTTCGGTAATAGATCAGATCAAGAACTGCATGCCTTGGTAAAAAATTGGTCTCAAATATAAATGAAGACATGCAATAAAATTGGGTTTGTAATTAGTATTCTTTGCATCTATCTTTGGAAGACTGCAATCACGCAGCATTTCATGAGTACTAAGAAAAATGTAATCTTGAAATAATATCATCTAGCTGCCTTTCCCTTTGCGCAATTCATCATGAATAATCTAATTAACTGTAGCATACGCTAACCATCTTTTTTGCAATAATAAGGTACACAAGACTATAAAAAACATGAAAAGATGTAATTTGAGAGAACATGCTTAACATTCATTTTCTCCAATTCCAAGACCATTTAGTTTCTAATTTACTCGTTTCCACAATATTCCTTCATTTGATTGTTTACTTTGGTTTGGAGATGACATAATGAAATACTACGTAATGGGCCTCTATAGAATTATCTCCCTCAGGCTTCAACTATGACAAAATCTGAGTAGCATAGTCCATGTACTCACACAAATATGGATATGGGTATGACATGATACAGACACAGTGATATGGAAAGTATTAGGGAAATTCGTATACAGGTAAAACAAGGATATCGTAGAATTGTATATTGATGCAAATATATACTTATAAATGATAGGATGTGATAGGATATGGCAACATAGATAAACCAAATCCTAAAAGTTGGGTGTAGAAATATGTCGAAGATAAATAACAATAAAAACTATACATGTGACAATGTGAGTGTTAATCAATTACGTGGATGGTTATAATTATATTCCAGAAATTTGAAAACTAATGCAATGCATGTAAAAGTCAAATAGAATTGTAACCCATAATCTATACACTTCATTTTCAACATTTTACTGCCAGATATGTCTCAAATTACATATAGGATAAGTTATAAAGTTTAGAAGTATCTAACAATATCCACCGAGCACCAGTGTCCAAGTGTTGGATACGTATAGGGTAAGGTAATGTTTCCTCGTTCAAAGTATCCACGCTATATAGCTTGTATCCAAGTATTTCAGAAATATACGACAACATCTTTCTTTGGAACAGGAGAAATGGGTTAAGAAAAAGTTTCTCCATGCCTATTATCTCCTGTCACTCTATACAATTTAACACCAGATTAAAAATTCAGATCAGGCTTTTTATGGCACCAAATTAAAATTTTATGCATTTCTAATTTGACAATAATTTGGTAGAAGAATTTCAATGTTTATTCTTTGAATAAGAACATTAAGGAGACCTTAAGGGAAAAAATATAATCAAAATGAAAACTGAAGCGAGGCCATAGAGACAGAATAAAACAGGCCACAAAGTATATGGGATACAGAGAGAGTATTTGCATTATTCAGTCATAAGTAAAGTGAAATTTCAAATATCAAAAGAAAAAAACCTACGAATTGAATTAGTAGGATCAACTTTCCAGACTAACTAATGTTTTAAACCATTCTCTGTTTCAAGAATCAGAATTTTTCCTGTCAGCGATCAAAGGGTTCTTGTACAAATTCAAGCAATATTTACTAAAGTTACTAAAAGGTATTCGACAAGTTTTTCAGAACCTGAATACAAAATGGTAGCAAACAACCAAACAATTTAGAGCCATGTTACTTCTGAAGTTTAAGATTATGTATATTGTAATGCATTTATCAAGGAGTTATAATCTTACAGATATAATCAAAATTTTCCACTAACCAGAACAATCTTAATAGTAATATCAAACTACTACAAGGGATGAAACCCTTAAAAGTGAAATCAAGAGTTCTAGGAAGATGTCTTACCAGCTTTTCGGGCAGCACGGAAAAGTAGCTCCTCGATTAGACTTTGTGCAGGGTCTCCATCTGGGAACCTCTCCATGAAATTTTCAACATATAAAACTACCTCCTCATTGCTTAGATATTGATACAAGCCATCCGAAGAAAGGACCAGAAACTGATCATTAGCACTCAGTTTATGGTGACGAAGAGAAGGCAAAGAGGACACGTATGGTGCAGTTCCAACGTACTCATTTCTAAACATTTCTAGCAATGTTTCATTCCATTTAGGCTGCATAGAAAGTCATAAACAACCGTAATAATGAAACTAAATACGCATAATAACATGTGATAAATAATAATTGTCAGATTAAAAAATATGTTAGCAAATTAGCATGAAGTAAATGCTATGAACCATAATGATTACAGATAAGCCTAACCATCTATTTGTATGTTCCAATAGCGAGCAGTTGCATAATAGGCATAGTTTAAGATTACATATGGCTGGACACTCATGTTCAAGGATCCAATGTTTCACACAAATGCACCATATTAAAAACTACCAGAAATGTTTCCAAAGCGCTTATGAAATTGCATTTACACTGTTATAATATCCCTTCTATACCTCCATGACACTTACTCAGCTTTTATGGGAATTCTTTTCAGATATTCAATTTTTGTTGTTTGAGAAGTCAATCTAGAAAAAGTTGTTACAACGGGTCGGTACTTATTTGAATTAAATTTATTTCTAAAGGTATTACACTAAGATGGAATAGAGAGCTTACAAAAATAATTTTTAAAAGCCTAGCATGCATTTAGAATTTAAAGATTAAGATGTGTATCTCAGTAAGACCAAAATTCAATAAAAATGAATAATAGAGAAATGAGTGTAGCAAAAGTGAGAATGTTACAATTGATGAGAGGAAATACACTGACAGATAAGATATGAAATGAGTGCATTCATAAGAAGTTACACATTAATCCTTTAGAGGATAAAATGACCGTTTGAGAAGCTTTGGTCATATGAAACGGAGCCCACTAAATGCACTATAAAGAGAACGAAAAAAATATAATTAATAGAGACAGAAAGACTAGAGGAAAGCCTAAGAGAAATTTGTCGGAAACTATTAAGAAGAATACGATAATGCATAACTTAGTAAAGGAAATAGCGCTCAGCAGAGCTGAATGGAAAAGTAGGATTCATGTGGCTGACCCCGAAAATATGGAATAAAGGCTTTGTTTTTGCTGCTGTTGCTGTTGAGTGATACAGAATGCTTTATCTATAATACTCCTTTTTTAGAACATTCAAAAATTAGCTTGACAGGTTTTCTGCAAGTTTAACTTTAATATAAAGGGTGATGAGAATATTAAGAAAATATATATACATACACATATATGTCTACATACATTACCCATTTACTGTGTCAATTTGGAGCACCTTGCCCATACCCATGTCATGTATTCTATCTGTCCTCATAATCAAGGTATAAGAACAAGGAAACAAAATTTCTTGTCTTAAATACCATGTATTAGAATTGTATTCTATTCTCCACAGCACGCTCTACTATGACTACATTATACTAGGAAAACAATGATGACAACTAAGCTGTAAGTGCATTAAGTACACTTTGACAGGTTGAATCTTCCAACAATAGTAATCAAAGAAATTTCTTAGAGCAACATACATGTTTTAGATATCCAGCCCCAAAAGCGCGAGTGACTTTTAGACGCCCTTTCACTCTGTCACCAGCAATACACTGATCATCATCTGGGTGTTCTTCCCTTATTCTGAGGACTTCCTGCATACATCAACATTTCATTAAACACCAACTATAGATGAAGGGAGCACACAACCATATAAGAACCAGTGACATTCCTTATTGCATAATATTAAGGGGTTAACTGAGAAAACTTATAAACAACCATACAAGTCGACATTGAGAGATTTGTACCTCGTGCATGTATAAGAACAAAATTAAATAATATGACACAAATCTTACTTCTTCAATGTCTGTACTATGATCAGTTGACAGCTGCAAAGCTGCGAGTTCCTTCACCCCTCGCTCCGGAGCCTCAATCTCCACTTCGCCAACATTCTCTTCACCTCTTCCACCAGTTTCATCCCTTTCTTCTCCTCCCATCTCCTTGTATTGAGCCACAATCGCCCTGCTATCCCCCAAATTCATTACATACACATCCTCGTCCCTCATCAACACCACCAAAAGGCACGAGCCCATCAATGCCAACTCCGGGTTGCAATCAATTGCTCTATCTGTCATCTCTAAGTAAGCATTCTCCGTAAATTCTAAGGCCCTCTCGAGAGCTCTGAGAACTAATCCATGGTCGCTCACAGGCCCAGCCCTCCTCCTCTTCTTCCTACACTCACTGCTCTCCCTAATTTCTTGAACCACCTTCGGCTTCTCTTCCTTTCTCCAGCTTCCAAATCCACTTCTCAACTTCGCCATCGAGAATGTGAACCTACCAGACCCCGAGAACTCCACTCCCCCATCATCCTCCCTTTCTTCTAGAAACTCCCATAACTTCCTAACAATTCTTGAATCTTCTTCCTTGGAAGCCACTTCTTGAGCGGATTCCTCCTGTTCCTCGATTTCTTCCCAAAATAGGCCTTTAAGCTCATTAAACACAGCTCTATAAAGATTCTCTACAAGGAATTCCGGCGCTTCCGGGCCATTAAACCCATCATAAATCCCAATAAAGAGCCACCTCTGGGACTCCGAGACCACGACATGAGCTCGGTCCCTCCCCGGCCATAGCCCTGGCCGGCCACTGGACCGCTCCCGCCTGTCGTTGCTCCGATTCATCGCCGCCCCCGCCCGTCATACAGATCGCACTTCATCCCGCGGAAACTCCGCGCGGGGACCACCCACCCGGCCGATTCTTTCCGACAGCTCCTCGGTCAGCACGCGACGCCCTTCTTTATCATCATCCTTCCCGGAAATGCACCCGTCCTTCCTACCTGCTTCTTCACCAGCAGGCCCCGAGAAAGGACTGACGACGAGAATCCAGGCGGCCGGAGAGCGCCCCACGCTCGATCTTCGGCCTGCAAGGAAGAATCACCGACGTCCAAGCGCGCCCCGGAGGCGCTGCGCCGCCTCCTTCCCGCGCCCGCGCGCCGAGCTTGGACGGGGGATCGCGCGAGAAGGACGAAGAGCTCGGACAGTGAGATCGAGCGGAATGGAGGAACGGGTTTTGGCATTTGTCGTAGATCGGACGGTCGCCGACGAGTTGGCCCGAGACGGAGGCGCCGGCAGATCGCCTTGAAGCCCGTTTCCGCCGCCGAGCGCGGCAGGAAGACCCGCGGCGATTCCCTTTCTTTCCTCTCCCAGTCGCCGTCCGCCCCGGCGGGCCCGCGAGATGAAGCACGGAACGTAGCAGAAGGAGTGTCGCTAGGGTTTTCATCCAGCGGCCCTCGCCTCGCAAGCCCGCGTGCTTATTCTCACCAGTTCCGTCGGCGGAGGAGCGTAAGCAGCCGAGGAGGTGACGGGACACGCCGCTCCCCATCACATTTGAAACCTCTTTCTCTCTCTTTCTCTGTGCTTGAAGAGAAACTCAGTCCGGGTCTTTAAGTCTTCATTAGGCATATATTAATTATATTTCTTAATCTCGTCTTTCCACCAAAAATATATTTTTAATTAATTAAGAAATTAGGTTGAGTAAAAAAGGGCGTGAGCTCGCTCTGTACTGCTGGTTTCTTTTTTCAAATCTTTTTGGTGCGCTTTCTTCTTCGGGGCAGAGCCT